GAGCGAGGGGGGCGGGGGAAGGGCATGGCCGTAGGCCCCAGCCAAGGGGGTAGTGGGGGAGATGACTATGGGTGGTATGGGACAAGGGGTGCAAGGAGGCCTGGGCTGCAACAGAAGCATCGGTCGGAGGCGTGGGAGGACCAGTACGTTTTGCTCCAGGGACTGGCAAGGTTTGGCTCTGTGAGAAGATTGCTAGGGGGGAGGTCCAGGCTTTGGACGGTGGGTGCCACATGGAGGGAGGTGGTCGTCCCTACAGGGCGTGTCTAGCTGGTGCCACTGACATGAATCTTGATGTCCGCTGCTGGGGCTGTCCCTTCCGTGTCAGGGGCTAAGCCCTCCCCCGTGTTGCTCCGCAGAGCAAGCTGTGTTCTTTGGCTTTGACGTCATGTACGGGGAATGCCATACAATTCACACCCGGGTCATGCTAGTAGCTGCGAAGTGCTCTTTAGCTCTGGTCGTGAAGGGTGCTCTCTTGCCCTCTGCTTTCATCTGAGCCTACTCAGTTATTGTTTTGCATCGCGACTGGGGTAACTCTTGATTTCTCGTTTTTCCTCACCGGAGTAGGTGCATACCCTCATAAAAAGCTGTAAACACATGCCTTCGGTTTTAGAAATAGGAAGCAATTTGCTAACACGGATTTTTCCAAATACTGATAGCTGTCTGATAAAGAACTTTTCAGCAATAAAATGGATAGAAACCATACTTCTATGTGATAGGCCGGAAGATTTCAGACTGTGCGTAGCATCTTCTTACCGGGTTGTTTTGCTTTTTTTGCCTAACTTTTACTTTCTTTGCCAGCAAATAGTGTTCCAAAGCCAATAGCGCTGTTTAAAATATGATATTTAGGAATGCTTGTATATCTCACACAGCATATGGAGGGAGGATCCTTCAGGATTTCCTGGGGGAAAGTTTATACAGTTGAAAAAGGAAGTTTTTGTATATCCATCTAATCCTTTTATACTAATTTTCTCCATTGTTTCCTAAACTTCATGTATTATGTTTTCTGAAAAAAAGAGAGTGTTCTCAAAATATTGTCTTGTTTAATCTCATTGATATGCTACAGTAATGTGTAATGTTTCCAAGATCAGTATTTATGCAACTTACTGGTTAAATTCGTTGTTGATCTGTTTTCTTTTTCCCATGTAGGTGAAATTTGATAGTGGAGTATTACTGCTTAGCACACACAGACTAATCTGGAGGGATCAGAAGAATCATGTAAGTCCTACTTCTGTCTCTTTTATGTCATTCAATTCTAAATTCCGTAACAAGCAACAGGTAGCTTGCAATTAAAAGACTGCATACGGAGAGAATTTTCTTTCCTTTATGTGTATTTTGTTTTAAAAGCATAGTCCATTTTTGGCTCAAGAGTGGAAAGAAAATTATGTTCAGGAATGTTGTTTCACCCAATTCTGCTTTAATAAAATAATTATGGGGATATGAGGAGGGATGGGAATGAATCATATAAATTTTCCTTTTCTATGGCACAAAAACAGAGGAGAAAAGAGTGTGGTATCATGCATTAAAAAACACTGGTTTGAGACTGAAGGTGAGGTTTTAGGCAAATCATAATGTGAACCTCTCTCCCATGCTTCTTGTCTAGCAAAACGTTTTCTTCCTCATTGTTTTCAAGTCCAAATTTCCCTGTCTTCTGCTCCCACCATATAGTCCCGGACCATGATTTGGTAATAGGATGTGTTTGGTGGCAGTATTATTTTGTATGGGTCTTACCCTTCCAACTGCCTGTTCTTGTGCTGAACCATTCCATCAATAAGCCAGAACATTTGTCTGTACTGCTGTGGAGATTTAACTCAGAGGTTTAGTGGCAGAACTACAGTGTAATACTGCTACTGAATGCTTTGTATCATCAAGCCACAGCCTGAGAGTGCAAGCTAGAAATGGGTGAGAAAGACTACAAACACATACAAAGCTCTAAGCATAGACTGTGACAACGTGTTCCACTTTGCAGCTGCAATTGAAGAAGTCCTTCTCAGAACCAGATTGGATTATGCTTGTTTTGGACACAATCTTTTAGAATTTTAGCCCTGGAAGCCAAAGTTGACATCGAGCACATTCAGATGACAAATCTTCAAAGGCGTATTTTATTCCATTGGATTAGTTTTGTGCAAGCATAGGTGAAGCACCTCTTGCACCCAAAGGCCATTCCCTACCAAATATCACATCCTTGGTCCAAAGCAGGGAGCTACTTAGAGTCTTGTAAGGTCACCAAGGATGTTCTTAATTTGGCAACGCAATGTATTTTTTCCTTAGGGATTGTTTGCAGGAACAGCAGAACTATTTTTAGTACAAATTTTTCAAAATGTTTTGAGAAGTGTTCCCCAGGGTGCGTTTACTGTTAAAGAAGTCAGGGGGTGATTTTCCAGATCATGAACTATTTTGTATAAATTAGCTTTTTTTTTTTTTTTTGGCACAGTCAGCATGAGATAATTCAGTTGTGCTAAACTATCTGTGTAATTCATCTCTTATTTCTTCATCAGCATCTCTTCTTTACAGGTGGGCATGTACTGCAACGTGCACTGCTTCTGGTCTTCTCACTTGGACATTTTACTTGCTTGGAGTAACATTAAGTGTTACGGCTTCAGCAAGGCTAACAACTGTCCATATTCCCATTCTCTCCTTCCCAACAAAAGAGTGACATTCTTGTCCCTAACTTCCCCTGCTCTTAGGCTACATGATTCCTTGTATCAAGATCACTGAATTTGCTAAATCAGCAGAGAATAAACGTGGAGAATAATAAAAAAGTTTTCTTTTAACAAATTAATTTAACTCAGCAAAGATTCTGACAAGCTCCAGGCTTGATTAAGAGAAGGGGCAGAAACATGGCTAGGAGATGGGTAAAAATTACCCAGTTCTGATCTAATACAGACCAGTTCTGTCTCAGTAGAGCCAGGTTTGGTTTTTGATTTTAAATCTGTGGTACACAAATAACTTTGTTAGTGCAGTAAATGAGGCTGAGTCTTCTCAAGCTCTTAGGATTGAAACACGAGGAGCACAGTGCCCTTTTATTTTCATGGTGGGTTGTTGGCTAAACTCAGCTGTGATATAACATAAGCCTTAGAAACCTTAGCTAGCTTACCTAGAATAAACTTGTTGAGAGAGTCCCCTTCTATGATGTCAGCAAACTTTAGTAATAAATGGGGCACTTGTCATTAGGTTAACATAGCAAACCTTTTTATGAAAACAGACAGATGTGTTTTATAGCTGCTGCTGTTACACACCATCTGCAGTTGAACGGGATAGAAAATACAGCGACTTACAAAAGACAAAAAAATAATTCTTTTAGGACATAGCTAGATTTGTACAACACTTTAAATCAGAAAGTGATGCATAATGTGAGCATGAGACATTAGGAAAAAAATATTCAAATAAACTCATGGCATTTTCAACACATCTCTCTTTGTGTCCCTTCTTGTTTCTCTCACCAGGAAGGGGTCATTCTAAGTCCTTGTGCTTACAATAAGTTCATAACTTTCTAACTGTGAACTAAATGAATCAATCATTTTGACAGTATACATACTATATATAGTTGGACTCTTTTGTCATTTTCAAAAACTTTTTCTTTTAACGGAAGTATCATTTTGCCTGGATTTAAAGTGTCCCAGGGCTATGTGGGCATTTTACAAACAGTAACCTGTTCTATGTAACGGCTGTAGAATCTGAAGCCATAGAAGAATCTAAATAGCTTGTATTAAGAGTTTCTAGAACAGGAAGTACAATCCATGTTTTTTCCCAATGAGAAATTTACTCATTAGTCAGAGTTCCTGTAGGTATACTTCCCTAATCTCCAATTTAGTGAGTATTTAATAATTTCATGCAAAGAGGAACCATTTTGGTAGTAGGGACTGAGAGGGCCCTGTAACTGTTCATTGTAACCTGGAGTTAGCACACCCTCATGGCAGATGGAAGAGAGGTTCAAAGAGGGAATGTAACCTGTGTTTTCTGTATGCTGGGTGACTGTGTCTATCTCCAAGCTATTGTGTGGAAGACAACATTCACCAAAGGACACTCACCAAAACAAGACCAGGCACCTAATTAGATGCTTTGAATAGCTCCCTTGAGCAATTTCTGTTTCAAATGCATGTAGAAAGAGTTTAGCCTGGGTAGGTTAGTTTCCCACAGATGGATACAGTCTTGTTTCTTGCTCTGCTTTGTTTTTTCTAAAGCAGAGTCCAATAAATGTGTGTTGAGATGCATCAACTGCTGGATTAAGTCCTTGGGTGTGGGACAGATGGAGAAATTCCTGTTCCACTCAGAGGATAGTCTAGTTTTTTTGACGTTCAACACTTGAAAGACTGGTGCTTTTGGATATTGTTTTAGCTCCCAAAGTAACATCAGTGCAAAAATGTTAAGAACCTGTGAGCATTGTGCACCTACAGGGAGAAGCTGCAGTAGTGTGGAAATTTTAGTGTTTAAATTTTGAACTTAGATACTAAAGATTTGTTAAATTCTCGAGTCCTATGAATCTAGCTTGAGATGCCTAAAGAAAATGCATTGACACTTAAGTTTGTTTTTTTGGTTATCTGGAACTCAGTTTCAACTTCATGTTGAGTTTTCTACTTATATTTCTCTTTAATAGATTGTTTCTATTGTTGCCATCATATTTCATATGGAGCACCTCAGGCAGCATCTGTAGAAAACTGTACTGTTTGTGAAATGGAGAAGGAGAACACTTCGTTTTAGAGAATGAATAGTCAGGATATGGCTTCAGTTTCACTTGTGTTTGCACTGATTATTCCAGGAGTGCTGCATTGCTATACCTTTGTCTCAGATCGTCTTTATTGAAGAGCAAGCGGCTGGGGTAGGAAAAAGGTAAGGTGATAGTCATTGTCTTTTTCAGGTGGATAGCTTGCCCATGCATGTTACGTGAGGAACCCGAGATGAATATATTAATTCATGGTAGGTTTCATTTGCAGTCCATGTTTCCAGATTGACAGCCACAAGGACTTGCATTATTCACTTGAGATCAAATGTGTAAGAGAGTCATGACAAAGCAGTGTTTGAGGTGGTTTATTAAATAACTGTCTTGTAATCACAAGCATGTGTTCTAGCGTGCCATTTTCATTTGATGAGTCATAAATGACAACAGTGATTTTGCTGAATCTAAATTTGAAAGCTAATTTTAGTCTTTTGTGCCACAGAACTGGTTGGGGATAGAAACTCTGCCAGATGCCACGTTATATAACTTTTCATGACCATATGATTGATTTTGAACATGGAAATGCTAGCAATAGTTAGAAGGAACTCAAGTGTTTCCACTTACTTGAATAACTACTTCAGTATTATGATATGTGTATGAAGAAGTTTCTCAAGGAAAAAGAGAAAAAAAAATCAACTGGAAAAATATATAGGTAATTGACATCTGCTTGCAGCCTACAGTCAGATGGGTAAGGTAATATGCTGGGGGTATCCAGAAGAAATCAGGTAATTCACTAATGCTGGAGAAGTCAGTAAATAAAGACACATGAAAAAAGTATCAGTAAAATGAGATGGGAATGGCAAACTTGCAGTCATGCTGTGTTAGCAGTCTGTTATGTTCCTAAAATAAAGCTATCTCAAGGTTTGTTTTGGTGATAGGTGTCATTTTAGACTGTTATTTCCATGCATGTTACCTTTGAATGTTGGTTTTGGACAAATTAACATACAGTGTTCGCAAGTGACATATACAAGTGGGATAGATTAAACATAATATTGAGACCTTTTGTTTTCCTGCTACAAAGATAGTGTATTTTGGCAGTAGTTACTGCAAGTCAAAAGCCTTGCAAGTGACTACTTAATGATTAGTTTTTATCTTAACTAAAAGATTTTTCAGAAATTATTGCTTGAAATATTAGAATTTGTTAGGTTTATTTCTTGAGAATTGATGGTGCATACATTTTAAATTTGTGAGACGCTGCTGGTTTAGAGGTTATAGTAGTTTTTATGCAAGATCCACTATAATATTGAGTCAAAATACTTAAATGTTGATGCACAAATGTAAAGCATTATTTGATGTACTTTAGCTCTTATGTGAGATAAATTTAATAGAGGTTTTGATTAAATTATTAGCTTTGTTGAAATGATTTTTTTTAGATATTACAGAAAGCTGCCTCTTTTCTTTCCTTTAACTTTTTCTTAGTGCCAAAATAGTAGTTCATCTTCATCCTGCTTCTTCAAACAAAGAGCCTGGTCCATTCCAAAGCAGCAAATACTCCTACATCAAACTTTCTTTCAAAGAACATGGGCAGATTGAGGTAGGTTTTGTGCCATGCAAGCCCAGCACATCAGATCTTTGGACATGCTTTTCTTCTGTTGCTGCGGTAGTGATAATTTTCCATGATGTTCCCATGTTTACTTTTGAGGTGGAGCTTTTTTACTACATCCTTTTTGAAGACAAACACCATGAGCCTTCAAAGTTCTATACTTTGGTTAAATAATGCCAGTAGAGTTCAAAAAATGTCAAGAGGCGTTATTAGGCTTTGTCCTTATTTTAGTAGTTTTAATATAATCTTATACTTCCTTTTTTAGTTTTTAAATGGAACACAGGATTTTCCAAAGTGACATTTCTGAAATCAGTTAAATGTTTAACAGAGTAAAAGATGTTTCTTTGTAGCTAACCCTCTACTGAACAGGAATCAAACAGTTTATGCCTAATAGTCTCTCTAATTTTATTGCTGAGCATTTTCTTTTGCCTCAGAGCTTTGTTTCATTTTATGTTTTTTAAATCTTTTTTTTATTTCCCTATTCCCTACACCAAATCTCAAAGTCTTTGAGCATTCTAAAAAAAAATGTAATATAAATGTAAAATATATTTTTAAAAGGCGGCTTATCCTAAACTTTCTTTCCTAAACAAAGAAACTACACTCAGTCAAGAAATTTCACAGTATGTAAGATCCTCACTTGAAGAGACTGAGAACTTTAACTTTGAACAATAAAAAAAGCCATACCTGTTCACTGCAGAAAACCAGATTTTCAACTTGAATTAGTTATAAATGTCTTATAAATGCATGTGCTTGATCAGACTCACTTCCATTTCTTTGTGAGCAGTTTTCAGCTTAGGACGAGTGTAGATTTATGCCTAGTTATAATCGTATTTGTGTTTTGCCTAATCCTAACCTTATTTATTTTAATGTTCATGTCTGAAAATCAAACTTACTATGCTTACTGGTTACCTGGCATATCAGTTACACTCCAGATCTTTTCTTTATGACTTCAGAATGCTTTCCTGTGGACTCTGAACAACCATAAGAATGGAATAGATTTTCGTTCTGTATTTTGGTCAGTGGGATACACTTACTGTTAACTAATTAACTAATGCCACCTTCTGGTATTAGCAAACAAATAAGTGTAATTGATCTGTGTGGTTGTCTTTATATTGTTGAATTAACAGATCAATAGTAATTGCATCATTCAATTTTCCTTCCTTTTAAAAGCATGTCTTTGAGCAAACCTCAACATTTTTAACTTTAGCATGTTTTGGAACATTTTGAATATCTGAAAAAATACTTTACTCGTGAGTTTAACTAGTAACTACCTGGCCTTTCCTCTAACATGTATATTTTTGAAGATTGTATGTTAAGAATTTCCAGATAATGGATGTTGTACTGTGGATGTGTAGGTGTTACCATGCTTTGTCTTACAGTGGCATTTATTTCATCTGCCACCAATATGCTAAAAATACCCAGAGGTACTCTGCACAGTTTGTGAAATGTCTGTTGTAACTCTTCTAATGTTTGCAGTTCTATAGACGATTATCAGAAGAAATCACACAAAGGAGATGGGAGAACATGCCTACTGGTCAGCCCATTCAGGTTAACAAGGATCCACAGGTATGTGCAGAGCTTCTGAGCAGCATCTGTATCTAATCTCTTGTTTCCACTTCTTGCTGCCCCTGTATACTGCATCTGTTGTGCCTCTCTAACCAACACCGTGGGCACATGTGGGAATTCAACTGTACTCTGCCTGTTTCTTCACTGGCATAAATTAGTTTCTCCTTTGCAGTTTGCACCTGATATAGAACAGTGGCCTCTCTTCCTTGGGTGTGTTTAGACTTGAATAGTTGATAATGAGCTCAATTTTTTTAAGGTAGTCACACACAGAATTATGTAAATATTATATATGTATTTGCATATAATTTTATTCAGCGTGAGAGATCTAACAAAACTGAAAGATTTTGTTTGGTCTTAATTGTAATTTCTGTTTTATTTTTTGTGGCTGGAAGTCAAATATATAATGTGTAACTTATATAGTTTCCAAAGATTTATATAAATGTTTGATTTAAATTCATATTCTAAATGGACAGTTGTTATGGAGAATCTCTTTGTCATGTGCTAGATTGCCTTCTTTATCTGTCTACATACTTCAAGGTTAGAAACTGATAAACATGTTTCTGTATATTTGTTTCTATATATGAATATGTTGAATATATGAATATATTGAACATGTAGTACTATATGAATGAAATAGGATGATTCAAAGATTGTTCAACGTCAAATCACGTATGTCCTCCTTTGTAAATGTAGTACCTATAAACATAGGTGCATTTGGACTTATGTGGAAGCCTGTACTGTTTGTCAAGAATCACTTCATGAAAATGCCTTACCTCCTGTTCTTTTTCTTAAGTCATAGCAAATCATTAACACTAGCACTAAGCTTTGCAGTCAGAGATTTGAGGGCTGGCACCACTGCCACTTAGGTACCAGCCTTTCTAAAACACATTTGGCATCAAATGAAAGGTTCACCATCACGTCAATTCTGATACTTCTCAGCAAGGTAAATTAGACTGCACTTAGCGTTGCGTTGCTGTGGCTATGTTTCTTCAGGCTAGATTTCTTCAGGTAATCGTGTTTAGATACACTCACACATTTCCACAGCTCTAGTAATATGTTCACAGGAACTTGGGAGGCTTTAATTGAGATGAGCTGGAATGCTCAGTCTGGATCAGGCTATTATGCATCTTCATATTAATAGCTTCAATATAATAATCTCATTATCTGTCTACTACAGCAAAGGCTTTACGCTTTTATTTTTTTACACTGATTTAAAAAATACTTTAAAGAAATATATGAAATATTGTGTGCATGGTACCAGCTCTTTGGGGAAACGTTTCCTGTCTTCCAATGTACAGTTTTTCACAGTGAGGCGGATGAGAAAAGTTAGCATTTCCTATTTTGATTTCTTCCATTATTTTCTTTTGCAGGCAGGAAGAATAAGGGCTGTAGGAATTGTAGGGATCGAAAGGAAATTAGAGGAAAAAAGAAAAGAGACTGACAAAAACATTTCCGAGGTAAATACTACTGAATTTTCAAGGTCAACCACCTGTCTGAGCCATTTACATTCGTTCACACTTTCTTTTAGGGGCAGCTGAGACTATTTATTGTTTTTGTTGAGAACTCTGAATTGATTAAGAGTGTATAATTTATAGTTATTTACTTTGTTTAACTGACTTCAGTATGTGTAAAGATACTTCATTAATAAATAGTTCCTTTCAAGAAAACTGTTCTTTGATATTAACTGTGTGTGTTTATAAAATTAATTATGATAGGATTAGAAACCTGAGTTCAGTGCATTTTCATCGGGGGAAGCAGAACACAAAGGCAGCTATCTGCAGAAAGAGACTATTACAAGTTCGAGGTTTTTTTCTGTCTTTTTTTTTTTACAGCTAATTTTGGTTTCAATTTAAAATGTAATATATATTAAGAGGAATACTCTGATCCAAGTGTCTGCACATAACTGTGGTGGTTAGGTTTTCATCTTACAAATATTCAGTTTTTAAATGTCAGATTTAGACTTACAATTACAGTAAAGTGTCCTGCAGTCCAGGCATCAGCAAGGTGTTACGAGAATCTTTGTGAAATACCTGGGCTAACTGGAGACCATCCTTTCCCCCAGAAACAGCACAATAGTTGAATTCCAAGTATTAATACTGATGGACAACAGAGGCACTTAATTTCTTCATATATACCTGGGAGCAATATCCTCAAAAATAGTCTGGTTCTGCCTTGGTAGTAGAGATTAATACAGAGGTACTCATAAACTACATGCAACAGATTCGTTCTTGTGGCAAAGCTTTATGGGATTCGGTGTGCCACAATAAAAAAGGCATTCACTGCTCTGACACATAAGGAAATTATAGTACCTTTGCAGGCTGCGTGCTGTTTCAAGATACTGGTAGCATTAAACTTTTTCCTTTCTGTTCATGAGGAATGTAATGAATGAAGCTCTGTGTGTAGTTCAAAAGGTATTGTGGTTACATGCATGTGTATATAGTTCAAAAGGTATTGTCTGGTTATTTTTTCCTTTACTAGCTTTGTCAGAGAGTAAAAGAAATCCATTTATATGTGTTGTATGAACAGAGGAAAACCATGACTTGTAAAATCCTGCCTTCCTCCAGCTTTAAATGTTATAAATGACTTAATTTAAAAAATGGTGCCCTGGCTTCCAGGAAAAGGCTTCCTGCATCTGCTGTTCACTGCTGATAAGAATCCAGTTCTTTAGCCTTTTGTTTATCTGAGGAAGTTCCTGTTAGGTGTGTGCACATTCCCCTTTGTTTCCAGGCCTGCCCTTGGTGAGTCAGGCAGAGGAGGAGTTAGACACAGCATGCTGTTTATTTAACTAAATCAGGGGTTCTTTTGATGAATGATGTTTTCTTGCAGGTTATAGAGATTAGAAATAAGCTGGGAAAAGCCTTGTTAGACAGCTTTTTGTTGATATCATGTACAAGTACAGTAGAAGGACTTTGATTTACACTAGAGATTGGGAAATCTATTGTAAATTATTGAATTTGGCAGAGTAGGAAGTAAGAAGAAATATTCCAAAGAGAAGCTTTTGTTCTGATAGATTATCTGGTAGATTATTGTTATACAGTGGTATAGTTTCTTTTCTCCCCTTGGACCTAGCTTTGTCCCACTTAATTTTGGATACTTACATACCAAGTGTTAGAGGCTAGACTTTGCCAGTCAGTGGAGAAACACTGGTGCCATTTGGAGGGATTCAGATGAAAAGCAAACCCTGTCCCTTCCTGGAGGCATCTCTTTGTCATCTTTGCATGTCGAATGTCAGACCAGTAAGCTTCTCAGATGCCTAAATGTAGATGGGAACTGTTGTGTGTTCCTGTGCAAATTCTGTTAAAATATGTCTTTCTAGTGGGGTAATAGTCAGAATAAGGTAGGGATCGCATAGAAGCAGTAGCTAGAAGCCATAGGCAAGATGTGTATTCGGTCATTTGACATAGTCTAACTGAACAACCTTTTTTACTTGTGGCTGGAGGGGTTGGGTGCTGCTGTCAGGCAAGCTTTAGCTGAAAGAGTTCAGGATTTTTTCTCACACCAGTTGTTCAAAAAGCGTTGTTTTAAAACGTTGACCCACCTGGGCATGTTGTCATGTATTTGAGAGAAGCGAGTCAGAAGGCTGAATGTGTGTTGCTGAGGATGGGAGAAATTAGAGTTGCTTTTTAATACAGTTGCATTAATATAGTTGCTAACTTTTTTTTTACATTAATGTTTTAGTGCTAGTTGGTTGTCATTACTAAAACTTTTGAATTTCATTATACATTCAGCTTTTTTTACAGTATATTTTATTTAAGCCTAAAAATGCCTTTGTGGGTTGTTGCAAAATAGTTGTATTTGAGACTGTAGCAGTTTACTAAACTTAATAGACGTGGTATAATTGTGGTCCTATGATGGATGTCCAGTTTATTACCTTTTTTTTTTGTGTGAAAATAAAAGGTTTCTTAGACTAGAAAAAAAAAGTACAATTTTTTTTTTTCCCCTTGTTCTAGCAAGTATTTTCATTTTTAGGTTCAACAACGAGAGTTTTCAGACGATGCTTTTTATTGAGTTTTTATCTTTATTTATATAAATCTGATCATTTGTCTCATGGACCTTATTTCATTTTTTTTAACTGTTTTTTTGTTTATTATGGTAGCACCACTGTTCCTATGTGTGTGATACCTAAATAAAGTGATGTTGCCACACATTTTCAGAGGTTTTGTCTCTTCAGTTAAGCATACATGTGAAAACATACACCCTCTTCCTTGCTCATTTGAAATGCCTGTTTCTTAGTAACATCTACTGATTAAAGTAAAATTATCTTGTCAGGAGGAGTACTTCTGTAGCTTTACAGCTGGCTTGTAGGTGGCCAGAAACAATAGATCTCCTTGAATGAGGGTTAACTGCTGAAAGAAGACCTACCATCACCACCAAGAAACGTTGCCCCTGCTTTTATGAGAGCATAATAAACTTGGACGGTTTAATCTCTCTGAGTCTCAGTATCTCGTTGTTCCTTCCTATCATATTGAACTAATGTTCACATATTAGAAAAGCCTGTGACTGATTTTTTCTTCACTCTTTGTTGTTTATGGATTGTATAATTTTGATTTTAAGACCTGATGTAAAACAGATAATACCAAGCAATTACATACAGTATCTCACATTGTAACATACTAATCTAAAGGGATAGCAGCTCTTACGAATAGCTTGGATGGGTGGACAAAGGCAACTCACTGTATCCATGAAGCTGAATGCTGTAATTATACTGATCTGCAGTGTCTGCTTTTCATTTCAGGCTTTTGAGGATCTTAGCAAACTAATGGAGAAGGTATGGCGTGTGTCGTTTATCCAATAAGTAGACTTATGCTTGTTTTCTCACTTTCAAGCATGCTTTTCTCTGTTGAGCTGACAGTTGACTTATCTATGTGTCTTTCTTGATAGGCTAAAGAAATGGTGGAGTTATCCAAGTCAATAGCTAATAAAATTAAAGAAAAACAAGGTGACATCACTGAGGATGAGGTACATGAGTTTTGTTTTTAAAGTCAACAGAAATGTTCCTATGCAAAGCAAAAAGCTATCCATTTGATACATGTAATGTTAATAAAGAACACTTCATGGTTGGGTTTTTTGTTTGAAGTCTACATAAAGTAAAAGTGACTTACTTGTTTAGTGTTAGCTTTTCTTTTCACCCTTTCTTAAAAGCAAAGATTTTACTGCCTTTGTGTAAACTTTTGTATTTTTGACCTCTGCTAGTCAAAAATAAATTATATTAAGTCTTACCTTCTTTTTGCTAGTAACTGACTTTATTGGTAGTGAACTGGATGGATTTATTCACCAAAATTGTCTTATAGTAATAAATCAAAGACTTTTAAAAACCAGAATCAGTCACTAGCTGATGTACTTTTAAATTTATTTGTTTGTTTGTTTGTTTAGACTATTAGGTTCAAGTCCTATCTACTGAGTATGGGTATAGCTAATCCCGTTACTAGGGAAACATACGGATCTGGTACACATTACCACATGCAACTGGCAAAGCAACTAGCTGGAATACTGCAGACACCATTAGAGGTAAAATACCTAATTTTGCACCCGTGTTTTCCGTGTGTTGCTGAACTTTGTTGTAAATGTGTTTTGGCTGTAGTACCGTGCTCTTTTTAAAGTCTCAGATTTAGCAGCACAACCTCATATTCAATGTTTATGGAAGGAATATATATCCTCTTTCTGAATAAGAAAGTTTAAGTAAGAATTTTTCTTTGGAGTAATGGCATCTCAACTTCTAATTTGCAAATTATCAGTGATACTTAGAAAATCATACTAGCAGTCTTTCTTCTATTTGAAGAGCCCTGTATTCATCCCTTGCTGCAGAGAAGGGGTGGAACAACACTGACTTTGAAAAAATATTTTTCAAATATTTTAAAAAATACTTTGAAAGTAGTCAGTATTTAAACTGCTTAAAAATTACATACTTTGCATATATAGCACAGAGTTATTCCATATATTATCTCCCCTTAGTAATATCTCTCATTTTATTTTATCTGAAGCTATTACAGAATTCAGTATTCTCACCAAAAAGTTAGATTGTTGCAACTTAAAAGGCGATGTGTCTACTAAAATGCATACATATTACAGTATTTTTGTGAAAGTTATGTGCTACCTACTATGATCAGAATGGAAAACTGAGTGTGTCTGAACAGTAAAAGGGGTAAATTGATTGATAGATTTAATATATTGAAATTCCTTGTTCCTGTGATTTATTCTCTGCTTTAAAATCAAAGTAATTCACAGTCTTTGGATGTAGTATCAGTGTTTTGCATTTTAAAATTATTAGAGAAAGATATAACAACTTAATCTCTCATGCTAGAAATACATGGTATCGCCTGGGTAGGTTTTTTCCATTAAAGCCCACCATTTAGCTCTTCTGTTTTACCTGTTTAATCAGTTAAATTCAAGTTGAGATACTGTGTTTACTAGATCAATGCTATTTCTCTTACCAGTCTTGTGCTTAACACAGGAGCGAGGAGGGATCATGTCACTTACAGAAGTGTACTGTCTGGTAAATCGTGCGCGAGGATTGGAGGTGAGAAATTGGTTCTATTAAATATTTTGTAAAATGTATTCAGTGGTAAGGTAATTAATGAAAAAGGGTAAAAATGTTCCTTACCAATTTCTCACTCTACCTGTCTAACAGCATGAAGTGGTCAGCCCTTTATTAAAATCAGGGTTTTTTACCTTTTTCGTTTCTCCTTCTTCCATGTAATATTTATGTATCCTCTATAAGTTGTCGTAATGTATGCTGCTTTTTATAATACCATGTAAAAGGGAAAATCCATCCTTATCTGGAAAGAAAACTGAAAGAACAGAGAATACTAAAGAACAGTAAATGTTTGTTTGCTTTTTTTGTATGTTTGGTTGGTTGTTTTTTTTTTACAAAATACATAAATTCTTTCTGTAAACAAGGCAAGAAGAATTATTATAGAACACATAGTAAAGGAACAGAAAGAAGCATAGAAGCCAAGAAAGTAGCCTGGACAATAGAAAGGAAGAAAACTAACAATATTGTGTAGCCTGCTGTATTTTATAGCTGTACTTATTAAAACTGTTTTGGTGTTATGCTGTATACTTGAAATGCAAGCTGTGAATAAATATGTGTTACTATTTTAATAGTTGCTGTCACCGGAAGATTTAGTAAATGCTTGTAAGATGCTAGAGTCACTGAAATTACCACTAAGGTAAGAGCTTTACAGATGTATTTATAAAACGTGGCACTCAGAAGTCAGACCATGGTGCTTCGATGACTTAATATTTTACCTGCAGTAGACTTTTTTGGTTTTCTAAACAAAGTCATCCTTTGCTGAAAGGATGCTGCTGTATGCACCAACATCCACTCTACATTAAAATAAGAATTTTTAGCCGTGGTTCACTTTGCTAGGAAGACAATATTCTTTTTTACTTCCAATACATTTTTCTTCAGGCTGGGAAAGGTGTTTAAGTTAGCCCAGACATATGCCCTGCTCTTTTCAGTCTCTTCAGATTTTGAAAATGCTTTTAATGTTACATTTTACAGAGCTTTTTTGTTTGGTTGGTTTTGTTTTGTAATGTGGTTTTAGGTGTGGATGCATTAGAAATGTGACCACAGGTGATGTGCACAGGGTTTTTAGTTACTTTGGGACTCTCTCTTGATTTTAGGCTTCGTATATTTGATAGTGGTGTGATGGTGATTGAACTCCAGTCTCATAACGAAGAGGAAATGGTAGCTTCTGCTTTAGAGACAGTAAGTGTACTTCATTTCCTTCAGTGTTCTGACTGTGCTGGAGAAATTTAAACACATTAGGTATAAAAACTTGAGGTACAGGATTTCCTTTTGAGGTTTTGAAATACAAAATATTCCACTTCCAAATCTTCTAACAGTAATACTTAAATAGCAGTTTTCATCTTCGAAGTGCTGTGCAGGCAATAATCTTAGTCATTGCTTTCTCTTTAAAGAAAAAATCACTTTTCCATCTCTCTTCAAACTTCATTAACCTTCAACCTTCAAATCTTTTGTGCTATAGGATGAAATTCATGGCATGTATTAAGCACTTAACAGAAGAGGACTTCAGACACTGTACACAATGTGCTTGAAGGCAGTGAAAGTACCTCTTAAGTGTTGATATAGGCAGTTGTTTGATTTGGGTTTATTTCAGAAAATAGCACATTGTATGTGTAGCATCTTGTACCGAGTTTGCTGCTGTGAAGAACGCTCAGTTGGAGAGTAGTGCATATAGAATTAAGTTAGTTTCATCAGGAAAAAAAGTAGTATAAATTGCTCAGTGTGGTAAACCTTCATGGTCTTTCTACCTCTGGACTCTTTAAAGTCCTGCTATCCCGTTATTTGATGCATTTTCCTGTGTCTTTTTCAGTGGGATGTAATTTTTTGTTTTTCATAAAGTTGAGTAAAGGCTGATTTGGTGTATCTGAAGTTAAACATCAAAGAGGACTTTGACTTGGGCAATCAAGAAAAAGTAGGGCTATCACAAACACCTTCTCAGTTGATACATGAGGTAGACTCTTCAGTGCGTTTTGTATGATTGTTACTGTATAGCTTTCTCATCAAAAAGATTTTAAGCTAAGAGAAATGTATATAGCCATCTAAAAGATACCATCCTAAGTTATCAAAACTAAAATGCTTAAATCTTTCAATTTATGTTAATCCTTTCAGTTTATTTTCTTATATTTACAGAAAAATACCTAGTCCATTTTAGGTGTTTTTTTCCTGATTATTTTTCATTTCTGATTAATTTGTTGCTTTCAGTAAGAGTGTTTATCTCTTTGAAAGGAAAGGAAAAAACTTATCTTGATAACAAATGAGGTCAACCACAAAAAGCAACAGATGATGGATTTATTACTGAAGTGCCTTTTTTTCTTTTATTTTCGTAATATGAGACTTTGACTCCATAGAAAAATGTTAAGGGAGAGGCTTTGAATGACGAAGGCTAGCCCGTAAGGGAAGGGGAAGGTGAGATCAGACTTGAGGCCAAAAGCACCCTGTACTTAATGTATAATGTACAATGACATGAAAATTCTGAGCAGAATTGAAAGGAAATCACAGGGTTTCAGACAGGAGGGAGATGCAGTTTTGAAACGCTGGTGAAGACAGGAAATGACATGGAAGTCAAAGGAAACCGAAGTCACCCTTAATGAGAGTAGTGGTTTGGGAAGGAAAGATAATTAATCACCCATACACATATTAGATTGTATAGCTGACTTCCATTACTTCCATTTTTAAGGGGAAATAGTCATAATTATTCATACTTTTTTAAAATGCAGACAAACTAGTTGTCTTCACAAGGGATTTGCTACCAATTTATCACTTCACAAGGCTAGACCTGAGTCAGTAGCTGAGAGAACTTCATTGTTCTTTTAATGCCCTAGTTTATTTGTGTGTTTGTTTTTTGACAGGTGTCTGAAAAGGGTTCACTCACAGCTGATGAATTTGCTAAGCTGGTGGGGATGTCTGTTCTCTTAGCCAAAGAAAGGTAAGTAATAATTGTTGTTTTTAAGAATATCTTCTTTATAATACTGTTCTCAAGTAATACAGCACGTCTTCTTTTGCTTTCTCTAGGCTGCTTCTTGCTGAAAAGATGGGCCATCTTTGCAGAGATGATTCAGTGGAAGGATTGAGATTCTACCCAAATTTATTTCTGACACAAAGCTAATGTAGTTCGTGTACAATTTGTTATGTAACAGTCAAACAAGAGAGCAGAGAGCAGAATCCTTCCAACAACGGACTTTAGAATTTTTATTTTGTTAGTCAGCTGCAACAGTGATGAACATTGCAACGCTTTACAGTTCTCAGGTATTTCAAGTGTTGAATCCTCTTCGGTGGAACTGAAAGGAAATAGGAATCACCAGAAGTCAGAAGCATGTTAATTGTCTCAAGCTGGCTAGCTCATGTTTGAAGTTTTATTTGATATGCTCTGTATTTTCTCATTTCAAGAGACGTCTGATGAGGATTCCACACAAGTGAAAGCGGAGAGAATATCCCTGTAGTCTGGCATGAGGGTCGGCACCCAGAAGAGAGGTTGCTGCATACTCCAATTTCAGTTTGTTTATGTCTAAAGCAACAAAGCAGACAGATGTATCCGTAGCGATAAGAAAAGTGACTTTGGTGTGTCCTGAGGTACAAGAAACAAACCAGTGTAGAATAACCCCTTTGCCCTGAAGTGATGAACCGTTTTCCAAGAGAGGATCTTGGGGTTCTTGTACTTTGAGACAGAAAGAACCTGCTGCAGGAGAGATTAACATATGTTATGTGAATCTAGAAAAAAGGGTGTTTATTTTGTCATGTCTCATGCTAATATCTCAGATAGAAGCGTTGTTAGCACAGACTTCCTCCCTTCTCTTTCCTTGCCATCTTCCTTCCTGTCTCATTGTGTTGCACTTTGGGTGCCCTTTCTCTGTCCTTTCTTTACGTAGCAGAGTGTAGTAGCCTCCTGACACTCTACCAGACACTGTGCTTTAATGTGCTTGGTTTTCATCTTGTACTTCTAATGGAAGATCATTTGTTCGCTTCATCAGCCTGTTATCTGTTTTGGAGAGACAGTTCGTTTGCTTATATCTTGTATGTGAAAATTAATGTGCTTTCAATAGTGAAGGGAGGAAGAAGGACTATCTCCCTGTACTTAATAGTCACGAGCTATTGTAATGTTTGGTATTCCTCACCCTGTGTTCACACTGAGTGCAATTTAATAGTCTCAGCTTTCATAACTCCAGTGGAGTTGTTACATTACTTGAAGATCTCTTGTCGTGGTAATAATGGTAAGTAAGTGGATGTTTACAATCCACATCACTTAAATTTTTGGCATTTTGAAATGACCAGTTTTAACAAATAACAAAACTCGTTCAAGGTATGGGCAAGAACAACATATAGGTAACTGTGTTGTGGTTGTAATGGCCAAATCAACATTACAAAGAAGAAGAAAAAGGCTTTTTAGAGCCCAGAAATATTTTCAGAACTATTTTCAGTGTTACCATAGGTTAGACAAGGGTTAAGAGCCTGCCAATAAGGATTTCAGCACAGAGATTCCTACCGTGATGATGCTTTTGGTTCATAGGATGCTCATTTAGATCCAGGGAATTATGTCCTCTTATCCTTGTCACGACACGAGCAAACTTCTATGCAGTGCTTTCTTTAGGACAGTTTTCCTCTGTTTCATGAAGGTGCTAAAACTAATGTATTTGACACAGCTGAAGGAACTGGTTCCACATTATTCTTGGTCTCTTAACCACCTTGTATCATCTCGTCAGGAGCCTTAGGCTTGCTGCTTTTCTTCATCCTCTCCACAACCCACAGAAGAGATCTACGTGAGGTACACCAAGCATCATGCATCTAAGGAGGGACTGAAAAGTGAGAAATTCAGAATCAAAAAGCTGATTTGTGACAACTGTTTCTTTTGCCCAATACCCAAATCTGTCAAGGGAGACTGGTGGTTTATGGGCCTGAACCTCTCCCCACAAGGTGGCATGTCTTCTGCAGAAAGAACAAAACCAGAAAGGAAATGCCAAGTGTAATCTCCCAGCCTCCGTTCCTCCAATCCTGAGAATCTCATTATTAAGCAATTTCATTAATTAAGCAATAACAATACAGTCTATTTAGAATGATGGTACCTTCTCGAGCTTTTCTTTCCCAAGATTT